CCCCACCTGTGACCCCGCCTGGTGACCCCACCAGCCGGCAGGACCAGCGGACCCTCGCGGGGGCTCCCAGGCTGGGGACAAGCAGGAGCACCTGGGAGCGAGGAGGGAGCAGAGGTCCGGCCACAGGGCCTGGTCTTTCCTTCCCCTGCCTCCTTCCTTCATTTCCATGACAGGCCTGCAAAGGCACTTAGACTTGGGATTGTTCTAGAAAATGCAGGGTGGGTGCGCATCGGATGGCTGCGAGGGACCCGGGAGTCAATGCCAGCCCGAGGCCGAGCTGGGCCTCCCGCTGCTCCACCAGGCAGAGACCTCCTGGCAGGGACCTTTGGTGGCACCGCCTTCAATGTCCCACCTGTCCCGGAGGTGACCTTGCTGCTACTGTGCTATCAGTCACCTGGGAGAGGCGGGGAGCACGTCCTTGGAGAAAGCGCCCCCGAGATGGTCTTGTCGAGGTGACATTGGTCACCTCGAATGTTTACCGAGTGTCAGGAGCACAGCCCTGCCAGAGGTGACATTCGTGCCTGAGGGCAGGCCACTGACGGGCTGGCCGGGGCTGAGTTCTAAGAAGGCTCCGCTGGCCCAGCTGTCCGGTTTCGGGCTGAATTTCCTCCCTGAGGAAAACGTGAAATAAAAGGAACTCGGACACTTGCGTCCTTGTCCTCTGAAAACCTAGTGGGTTTCACTTTATGGATGATCCACGTGGCCGTTCTTTCGTGACCTGTACTTTCAAAAGTTCTGATCTCGGAAATGCTCACCCACGTGTGAAGATGGGGGAACGAGGAGAGAGTTTGGGGTGACGTGCCCCGTCACCCCGTCCCCAGGTCCCACGGCGACTCACCTGCCCACGCGCCCCCCCCCCCCCGCCCTAGTGATACACCTGGGACCGAACCTTGGACCTGTCCTCACTCCGGCCTCCGATGCCTCGTTTTCTGTGAGATTGTGATGGATGCTAAGCTCCGGGCGCATCTGTCTGTCTGGACTCGGCTTTTTGACCGGGGCGTCCGGGCCTGGAGCGGGCAGCTTGCGGCCTGCCCTGCTCACGGGTCCCCAGGACGGCAAATCTGCTTGCAAATGGAGCCTGCTTGAGCTGGGCTGCCAGCCGCTGGAGCTGAACAAGGGGACATTTTAAATTCTTTTTATTCCTGCTGAATTCCTGCCAACTCTGTATATGGTATTTCCATAAAAGTCCTGTTTTCCTTCCCTTTTCTTTGAAGAATGAAACTTCTCTTCCCTTTTTGCTTTTGAGAGCGGGGAGGACTGTCATCCCAGACCCTCCGACCACCCCCTCCTGCTGGGGGCTTGGATTCCGGAACCGTCTCTGTTTGCATCTCCTGGGCTTTGGCAAGTCACAGGGGGGACCCGGGCTGGGGAGGGTGGTCCTGCTCCACATTGTTGAAAGATTCTTGTACTTCAGTCAACTGAAAACTCTCAAAAGTTCTCTTTACAGCCATTGAATTTCAAATCATTCTCCTGAGTAGACTGTGAGTGGGGGGAAAGGATTCCAAGGAGGAGAAAAAGGATCTCACAGTCCTTTGCCAGACACATTGTCCTCAGTGCCAGGCGAACGTCCTGGCTGCCCATTAAGGCTCCCTGCTCGGCGGCTCTGTCCCTCTCTGCATTCTTGCTGCCGACTGTCATCCACGGGACACATGACTTCTGTTTAAAGGCTGCAGTTTATTCGGGTGGAAAAAGCCTCCATCACTCAGGGAAGGAAAAGAGATTTGGAGCCGGGTCCGGCCATTGGTTTACTCATGTGCCTGCGGTCACCCCTGGTTCCCGCGTCCCCGCCACCCGGGGGCAGGGGACAACGGGCCTCTGTCCACCTGGCCAGGGGTCCTCTTCCTCCTTCTGCCTTGGGGGTGGGAAAGCGGCTCCTCTCCGAATATCAGGCCCGAGTAGCCATACGGGGGAGGGACTGGCTCCTTCTGGAAGGTTCTTTTTCTAACTCCCTGTTGCTTTGTAGCAAATCCCCCCAGGACTTGCCTGTGGGAAACAGCCCCTGTTAGTTCTGCTCCTGGACCCTGGGGTCCCCAGAGATGGACAGGCAGACCCCGACGGCTGGAGGGTGCTGGGGACGCAGTCCCCAATGTGCCACTCTCTACAGCCACAGTGCTAGAGGGTGGCCCAGGGACCCCCGAGGGGGCCAGATCTCCTCGGGGGTTGGTCCGTGAAATCAAAATGGTTTTCAGAAGAGCACGAAGATGTTATCTGTCCTCTCCTCGCTCCGCCTCTGGGTTGTGCAGTTTTCCTGATGCTCCATGACAGGCGGTGACATCAGTGCCCTGCGGGTTAATGGAATGTGGCTCTGTGTGTTCTGTTTAGAACATTTAATTCCTTTAGCCACAAACCGGGGGGAAAAGAGCCCAGGCACACGGAAGTCTGTGGGAGTCTCCCGCAGTCTTTCAGAGGGTAACGAGGTCCTGAGACCGCAGCCGGTGAACAGCTGGGCCTGATGAAGCGCAACTGGGTCGGCAGGCAGCAGAAGGGACGCTCGGTTAGTGGCCGCCCACGTCCAGAGCCGGACCCAGAGTGGGAGGAAGGCAGCGGCAAAGGAAGAGGCAGCAGCCGTGTCTTCTTTCCCTGGTGTTTCCAGGTAAACGGCGTCCAGAGGGACAGCGTGGGAGTCAGCGCCGGCCTGGTCTCGGGGCCCTGCCACGCAGGTGCTCCCAGGAGAAGGCGAGGGGCCAGGGGGAGTTTTTTGGGGGCGGGGCTGAAAGGTACCGGGGAAGGAGGAGTGGGCGGAGGAGGGAGATATTTAAGGTGGCAGCCTGCAGCTCTCGGCTGAATGTCCCCGGGCTTGGAGGCCTGTCCCCGTCTCCCACCCAGAGCCCCGGCACCACTCTGGTCTCAGCGCCCTGGTCACACCTTGGTTCAAATCCCAGCCCCGCTGCCTTCTGGCTGTAACACCTCGGACAGACTCCTTAACCTCTCTGTGCCGCAGTCCTGCACCCGTGCCGATGACACAGGGACGTATCCTGACCGGCGAGCTTGGGCTGTGGCTGCAGGACGGAAAGGGGTGGGCCCCAAACGCCGGCCTGCGCAGGCCGGGACGGCCCCCTTCACTCCAGCCCCGGGCAGGGCAGCGGGCCCCGAGCACACGGCTTTCAGGCCATCTTGCCGGGACCTCGCCGGTGAGGGAAAGTGGTCATTCGACCTAAGAACCTGCGCTGTGGGGGGCAGTTTCCCGGTGTTAACCCGCCCGGCAGGCCGGGCGGCGTGTTCCAAGCCGCTTCTGACGGGAACATCCTCCATCTGTGTGACATCGCACGCTCCTCGCCTGTACACACGGGTCACGGCCCGCTCGGGCCCAGGCGGCGGCTTCCCGGGACGGCCCCCGAGCGTGCTGTTGGGAGAAGCGCGGAGCCGCAGACACGAACCTTCGGGAAAGCAGGCGTGGGTGGGCGTGCGGTTTCCCAGCCTCTCGTCGGAGACTCTGGGGGGTGAACTGTCACCAATGGCCTGTCCCAGGGAAGAGCTGCGTCCCCGAGTGAGTCAAGCCGGGAGGGACAAGCTCGCTTCTGTCACCTCTGAGACCGGGCACTGTCCTTCTCGGGCCACTGCGATGCCAGACTGCAAGGGCGCGGGTTAGTGGTAACAACCACGCTGGACAGCGCGTGGACCGGGCCCTGAGTGCGCCCTGCGGCCCGAGCCCTGCGGGTGCCTTACGCCACGGATGAGCACGCGAGTCTTTCCTCCACGTTCGGGCTAAACGTGGTCTCGGTGGAGGCTCCGCACACGGAACATCGGGGACGCAGTTTCTGGGAGAATGCGTGGGGTCTTTTCTACAGCTTTCGTGGCCCGAGCGCCATGGGCAGCAGGGCCGCCCTGGGGCTGCGGTGCCGGAGCCCAAGTTCACTGCCTACCGTTGACCCGGCGCCACCTGGGAAGAAAGTACAGAGCAGAGGATGTGCAAAGATGACAACAATGCACGTGCCACTGTCCCCAAAGCGTCACCTTCCCCTCAGGGAAGTATTTCAGGCCATGTCTGTTCCAGAGTCCAGTCGGGGCATGAGGAGCGGCCCTGTGTCTGGGCCGGTGGCTCTGCAGCCGGAAACCAGGGCAGCATCCTGCGGCAGCCACGGACTCAGCTGGGAGGAGGAGACCGGCGACAGAGCGGGGAGGCCCGCCCAAGCAGCCCCCTCACTGAACGGCAATGGCTGCAGTGAGGTCTTCGCGTTCCTGGTGAGATTTACGTCCCACTTGTGAAAAAGATTTGAGAGGAAAAAATAAACCGTTCGGCTATGACCAGAGGTCTTCTCGTTGGGTCGCTTTGTTAAAGGGCCAGGGGTTAGAGGGAGCAGGAGCCACCTGGCCAGGTGTGACCCGCGCCAGGTGCGGATGGGGCGCGGTCAGGAGTGCAGGTGCCGGAGCCGCCCTGCTGAACGGGGCGTGTCGCTGCCTCTCCGAGTGGTCACTGGGACTGAGTGCGCGAGTGTTGGGACAGTGTTGGGACAGTGCTCGGGAGGACGCCCGCCGCCTGAGTCTCAGATGGCAGAGACCGGCCGGCCTGACCTCGCGCACTTCCTACCACACCCTCGAGAACTGTTGTGAGTTTGGATTCCCGATAAACAGAACCACGTTTTTACTGCTATGGCAAGGGTCACCTTTTAATTTGTTTTAGCAATTCAACAAGAGATTTCAAAAGGTATTTGGGACGGAGGCCAAGAACCGACACAGCAAGACTGGAGGACAGGGAGGCTGGTTTCGGTTCGGGGTCCCAGGGCTGGGAGCTCCCAGCCAGGAAGCCGCTTCCTTTCTGCAGGGAAGGGGGGGCGCTCCCAAGGGTCCGCGTGGTCCACTCCAGAAATACAGCCCACCGATCGAACACAAAGAAATACCTTCCTTTCACAATGCAGAATACTGGTAAGAAAGAAAAATTTTGCTAATCACGGAGAGTCTGCATTTAGTTCTAGGAAAAAAATATGACTAAAACTAGTCGGAAGGTAACTTGTAGGCAGCGAGAGATTCTTCCATGTAGAAAGAAGTTTGGTGCACAGAGGTGTGACTACTGAATGGTTTATTAATGTCTGTCTTTTTTTTAAAGATTTTATTTATGTTTAGAGGGGGAAGGGAGGGAGGAAGAGAGGGAGAGGAACATCAGCGTGTGGCTGCCTGTTGTGCGCCCCCTACTGGGGATCTGACCTGCAACCCAGGCTTGTGCCTGACTGGGAATCCAACCAGCGCCCCTTTGGTTCACAGTCCAGCACTCAGTCCACTGAGCCACGCCAGCCACTCAACGTGTGTTTTATAAGAGCACTCGGCTGCCTCCCCGGGTTCCACATTCCACTCCCAACAACAACAGTCCTCTGGGCGTCATGACACACGCGTCGTCCTCTTGCACCTGTGGCCGACAGTGGGGGCTGCGGGGTCGGGGGCCCGCCTCCGCCCGTCAGACCAGCCGCCCCAGGAACACAGAGCCGGGGTGCGAGGCCTTCAGGGCGGGCCACTGCACCAGGAAGTAGTCGCAGAAGGGGCGGAGGAGGCTGCCGGACAGGGACAGGCGCTCCACGCGGCAGACGCTCTCCACGTAGACCAGGAGCACCCTCTTCACGCCCAGCAGCCCCAGCAGCAGTGCGGAGGCGCAGACCGGCACGCACGTCCCGGGGCCGTTGCACAGCACCTGAGAAGTCGGAGGGCAGGTTAAAACACAGAACATGTACCTCGGCGAGGCATCTCGCATTAAACATAGTCACACGTTAGAAGGGGTTTTTTAAGTTTTTCTGAAAATATATTTTATTGATATGCTGTTACAGTTGTCCCATTCCCCCCTTTGCTCCCCTCCGCCCTGCACACCCCTCCCACCCACATCACCACCCCCTTTAGTTCGTGTCCACGGGTCGTATGTGTCAGTTCTCTGGCTTCCCCATTTCCTATACTGTTCTTAACCTCCCCGTCTATCTTCTACCTTTTACATTTCTTATTCCCTGTACCTTTTCCCCATTCTTCCCCCCCCCCCCATAACCCTCCATGTGATCTCCATTTCTGTGATTCAGCTCCTGTTCTAAGTCGTTTGCTTAGCTTGTGTTTATTTTTTTAGGTTAGGTTGTTAATAGTTGTAAGTTTGTTGTCATTTTACTGTTCATATTTTTATCTTCTTTTTCTTAGATAAGTCCCTTTAACATTTCATATAATAAGGGCTTGGTGATGATGAACTCCTTGAACTTGACCTTATCTGGGAAGCACTTTATCTGCCCTTCCATTCTAAACTAAAGCTTTGCTGGATAGAGCAATCTTGGATGTAGGTCCTTGCCTTTCATGACTTCAAATACTTCTTTCCAGCCCCTTCTTGCCTATAAGGTTTCTTTTGAGAAATCAGCTGATAGTCTTATGGGAACTCCTTTGTAGGTAACTGTCTCCTTTTCTCTTGCTCCTTTTGAGACTCTCTCCTTATTTTTAATCTTAGGTAACTTAATTATGATCTGCCTTGGTGTTTGCTTCCTTGGGTCCAACTTCTTTGGAACTCTCTGAACTTCCTGGAAGTCTATTTCCTTTGCCAGATTGGGGAAGTTCTCCTTCATTATGTTTGCAAATAAGTTTCCATTTCTTGCTCTTCCTCTTTTCCTGTTGGCATTCCTGTGATTCGGATGTTGAAACGTTTAAAGTTGTCCTGGAGGTTCCTAAGCCTGTTCCTAAGCCAGTTGTTTTGAATTCTTTTTTTTCTTTTTTATTTATTATATATATATATATAATTTTTATATATAAATATATATTTTATATACTTTTTATATATTTCTTTTTTATGTTTTATTTATTTAGTTTAGAGAGAGGGGAAGGGAAGGTGAAAGATCCGGAGAGAAACATCAATGTGGTTGACTCTCACACGCCCCCTAATGGGGACCTGGCCTGCAATCCAGGCATGTGCCCTGACTAGGAATCGAACCAGCGACCCTTTGCTTCACAGGCCCGTGCTCAATCCACTGAGCCACACCAGCCAGGGTTGTTTTGAATTCTTGTTTCTTTGTTCTGTTCTGGCTGAATGCTTATTTCTTCCTTCTGGTCCAAACCGTTGATTTGAGTCCTGGTTTCCTTCCTGTCACTTTTGGTTCCCTGTACATTTTCCTTTAATTCACTTTTATAGCCTTCACTTTTCCCTCTGTTTTGTGACCATACTCAACCAATTCTGTGAGCATCCTGATTACCAGTGTTTTGAACTCTGCATCTGATAGGTTGGCTATCTCTTCATCGCTTAGTTGTATTTTCTCTGGGGCTTTGATCTGTTCTTTCATTTGGGCCATATTTCTTTGTCTCGGTGTGCCTGTTACGTTGTAAGGGGCGGAGCCTTAGGTATTCGTCAGGGTGGGGCAACCACGGCCCCGCGTTGTGACGCTGCGTGGAGGGGAGGGGTCTGAGAGGGAGCAGTGCTGCTTGCTGGGCTCTCAGCCACTTCCCCCCTTCCCACAAGCAAATTGGGCCCTTTTGGTGCTGATTCCCAGGTGGGTGAGTTTGTGTGCGTTCTAGGACCCTGTGGGTCACTCCAGTGGATTCTCCTGTGAGGCTGGAGTTTCTTCCGCTGCTGCCGCAACCCCCACAGGTGTTTTCACTCAGAGGTTTTGAGGCTTCATTTCCCCGCCGGGACCCTGGGTTTTGCGGTCTGTCTCGCTGCCCCGTGGTTCCTCTCGGTTTATCTGCACTTGAATGTGGGGCCGCCCGCTCTGCCCGCTGCCTGCTGCCTTGCCACGTGTCCTCTCTGCCCGTCCCCGCCCCTCCTGCCGCTCTGGGTGAGTGTTTCGTCTTTAACTCCTTGGTGGTCGGGCTTCCATCCAGTTCAGTTTTCTGGCGGTTCTAGTTGCTTTTGGTTTTTAAATTTGTTGTCCTTCTTTTGGTTGTGTGAGGAGGCACGGTGTGTCTACTTATGCCTCCATCTTGGCCAAAACAGATTTTTTAAGTTTTTCTAAGTCTTGAATAATTCCTCGACAAGATGTGACGTGTAGCCAGCCACGCACTTTGCAGCCTGTGGGTCCGCGCTGAGCTCTCTCCCTCACCAGCTCTGCGCCCGCGGCAGGCCCGTCCCCGCTCTGTGCCCCGGCGCCTGTCCTGTGCCGTGGGGCCTGCGGCTTGGCCAGCACTCAGTGGCCGGCCGTGCGCTGCTCTTCTCTACCGCTTTCACTCTTTTTCATGGCCTAGTAATATTCCATCGTGTGTACGGGCCACTGCCTGTTGTCTGACCGTGTACTGATGGAGACCTGGGTGGCTCCCACGGCCCGGATGTCGTTAGCAATGCTGCGGTGAACACGAGGGCACAGGCGTCTTTTCAGATCCGCAGACTTGTGTTCTTCAGACATAATCCCAGGAGTGGAAGTACCGGGTCAAAAGGCGGTTCCTTTTTTACCTTTTTGAGAAAATCCCACAGTTTTCCACAGCGCTGCACCAGTCTGCACCCCCCACCCACAGTGCAGGAGGGTTCCCTTTTCTCTGCATCCTCCCCAGCGCTTGTCGTTTGTGGATTTACTGATGTCAGCTGTTCTGACAGTGTGAGGCCATATCTCATTGTTTATTTTGCATTTCCCTGATGATAAGTGATGTTGAGCATCTCTTCACGTTTGTTGGGCATTTTGCGGAGGATTTCATTTCCTTTGCTGTGCAAAACCTTTTTAGTTTGATGTAGTCCCATTTGTTTATTTATTTACTTTTTAATTTCTTTTCTTTGCTTGAGGGGACATGTCCAAAATGATACTGCTAAGAGCGCTTTCCTTCCAAGGGGCTCCAGCCGCCCCGCCCTGCCCTGCGTGGCCCTGGCAGTCCATGGCTGCGGGGTGGGACGAGGAAGGGAGACCGGCTGTGTTGCCCCCTTGGGAGCCTGCGCGCAGGGCCTGGGTTCCGGGGCTGCCAGGCTCCTGTGTCCCCTCCCAGCTCGGTGGCGTCCAGCTGCAGTTTCAACGCACGTGAGGAAGACCCTACGCACCGCAGGCCCCACGGCCTGGCTCCTCCTCCGCTAGCGGGGTGCGGGGTTGGCAGAGAGCTGAGCGGGCCGGCGGCCACGCTGGACGGGCGTTTCGGGGGCCTGCCCTGAGGTTCCAGCACAGCAGGTGCTGTGAGGCCAAACCAAGACCTGATGTCTGCTGGTCTGGATGGCAAGGCCAGGGCTGCTCTGCGTCACTGTCAGAGATCACGGCCAGGCCAGCCCCTCGCTGTTTCCATGGCTTCCTGGCCGCTGCTGCGCTCTGCTGAGGAAACGGAACCTCAGCGCTTTCCTGTCCCCTGGACACACGGCCAAGGTGCCGCTTCCTGCCTTCCGGGCCGTCCGGTTCCCACCGCGTCAGGGAGGTGTCTGCTTCCTGTAGCCCGCGTTTCCCGCAGCAGGCAGGCCGGCGCAGGCGCTCGTCGGGGGGCCGGGTGCTGGGGTGGGGGCACCCTCGAAGCCCCCAGTGCTCGTCCCTGGAGGCGAAGGGCAGCCCTTGACCTCTGCAGGCACAGCGCCTGGGCGTGGCGTTCTGCAGAGTGACCCCTGGAGTCCGATGGCAGCCCCCAAGGTGGGCGCTGTCACCGTCGAGTTTGGACAAAATGACGAGGCCACAGGACGTTGGGTGACGAGGAAAGATCGCACAGTGGAGACCCAGCCAGCTCCCAGGGGACGGCCCCACGTCCAGAGTCTGTGTCGGGCCGTCTGTACCCACCACCAGGCCCGGCGCTGGCTGGGACTCGCTGCAGGGCAGACGGGACCCCGGGAGGGAGTTGAAGGCGCAGTTCTGGCAACGGTTTGAACACTTTGATTCCGTAGAGAATCAGGTTCTGCAGAGAACCTGCCACTGGGCTGAGGTGGAGGAGAAACCTCTCAGCAGATAAAACGGGGGAATGGTTACCACAGAAAACAGGGAATAAATATCCTCTCGGAACAGTAAGAACTGGCTGAAGTCAAAGCCAGGACAGGACTCTGCCCACAGGCGACATCTGCTCTGTCCTTCCTCGCTGGCACGGGCACCTGTGCACCGCGTCCCTGCCCGGCCGAGCCAACGGCGGCCAGCAGTTCCTCTTTGGCAACCCGCACGCAGAAGTGTCTTCCGCACCATCCACATGGGATCCTCGGATTCCTCTGTTCTCAGCCGCAAGGATGTGTGAGGACACTGGAAGATTCTGGCTGTGGCCCTGGCTGGGGACGCTCAGCGGGCTGCTGGGCGTCATCTCACCAAGCGAAAGGTCACCAGTTGGATTCCCGGTCAGGGCCCACGTCTGGGTTGCGGGCTCAGTCCTGGGTCAGGTCTGGATGCGTGTGAGAGGCAACAATTGATGTTTCCCTCCCTGTCTTTCTCCCTCTCTTCCCCTCTCTCTAAAAATAAGTGTTTGCCAACAAATCTTTAAACAACCCTGCCTGTGTGTGTGAGAGAAACACAGAGACAGAACCCAGGGGGGACCAGGGAGCCCGGGACCTTATGGTTGAAGGACTCGGCTCCCTGGAGCCCCGCCCGGCTCCCGGCCTTGACTGTGGGGGACACGTGCCCCCCCGTGCACACGCAGGCCTCCCGAGCTGTTTCCTGTCCGTCCACGGCCCCCACGTTTGCGGAGCCCACCAAGGCCGCACCCGGCCCCGTCAGCAACTCGCAGGGCTGATGGCCCTGCTGGTCCGAGCCAAGGTGTTTTCCAAGGATTCTCTGGCCTCCAGGCTCAGCAGAGCTTCCAGTGCGC